ATTTCTTTTCAGCCTAGAGGGTCTAATAAGTAGCATTAAGGAAACCCCTCAATCAGAAACACATACAGTACATAAACAGTGGGCAATATGGATCACAGTAATTCCACCTTATGATGCAATTAAAAGAGTGAAGCTCTTGAGAGATGGGAAAGGCAACTAGCTTATCTCCAGTTTGACTTTTCTTTTCCTTTTGGAGTCTCAGGGCAGCAGTGTAACTTATGAGAAAGGTCAAGTACCTGTGCATGACAGCAAACATGCATTCAATGGAAATGTGTGTGTATGCGTGTTTCAGAGATGGACAGAAAGGAAGATTTGGCCAGTTAAACCTGTTCCTAATAACAGAAAAATGCACAGAGGGAAAACTAGAGGAAATGGAGGGGAAACAAGTGGGAGACAAAGAGCACAGAGGGAGGTTAAGGGAAAGTGAGGCTGATTTGCTGCAGATGCTCTAGTCTAGTGGGAAACTGACAAAGTTGATCTTTTATGGAAATGGGTGTGTTTATACTAGTGTGTGGTTGAGTGAAAAAGATAGTCCTCCATAATTAAAACAATGTTTGACTAGTTGAGGGCTTGAGCAATCACTTAATGGTTAAAAAATGTGAGTCCGGCAATTTTGAATGGAATCATAATTAGTTTTCTCCTCCCTGAACCTTAAGGAATCTAACACTCCTTTCATCCTCAGTGACCACTTCTGAAAAGCCCTTGAGCAAGGCTATAGTCTCTTCATTTTCATCTTGTAGTGCCTACTAATGTTTTCTGGTATAGAAGAGAGTAATATAAAAGTTGGCTCAACCGACCCTTTCACAATATACCTGCTCCATTATGTTCACAACTAGTTAATAACCTTGTCTGTCTTCTATTTGGGCAACTAGTCCTCCAAAATTAAATTACAAAATATTTGTAATTGTCCTTTAGAAAGACAGAAAGGTTTTCTCTGTGTAGAATGGAGAAGAAAAAAAAACTCATCACCTGCCCACATTGCTACAAATTACTGTTGAAAAGTATTAGTATTAGTTTAAGCACAAAAATTACTTTGTTTAGGGTTTAGCAGTAACCAGTGTGTTCTACTGGATTGGCAAATGCACTTGTAAAGCTTTATTTATGGTTCTGCGCTGAATCTACACCGTAGGTAGCACGTAACCTCCGAGCCTACGCTCTAGCCAAACACGCACCTCTCCAGAAATGCAACTGCACACTGTGGTGACACAGACCACAACAACTGTGATTGGCTGCATTGCATTTCCGCGTTCATCGATCGAGTCACGTTAGCCTTTGTCATGGCGCCCATATTTTCTACAGTCGATGCTCACAACCAACAATATGGATAAACTATCTCAGCACAATTAAGAAGCCTGAAAAAGTAAATATTAGGCAAACCTGAAACAGGACTGTGGGAATTTTTCTGCATGTGCACATAGTGTCAACCATTAATTTCAGCCAAGACAACAGCCGTGTGAATGTTGTTCAGTCATAACCAGAGTCTTTCTTGTTATGTGCTGTATTCTCCCACGAGAAAATGGGTGCTGTATCCTGTGTCTCTGATTTATTTATTTATTTTTTTTCCCACAAACTGTAACACATATGTAAACAGTTTTTTTTTTGTCACTTAGTAGAGTATTGCAGTGCCACTGGAGTCATACCCTAACCAAAATCCAAGTAATAACATAAAAAGTTAAGGGTTTATTTTATAGGGAACAGATTTTTGTCAGCAAATGGGCAGAAATCCCTAATGTGATTAATATAAATCACCCAAGCTGTACACATACAATAAACATACATGTTCAGTTTGTGTAAACTGTTCTTCTCTTCTCTAGGTCCAACAATTTATTTTTCTTGCCCCAGCTCTTAATCATAGCCAATAGCATCAATTCAAAAAATGCCTATTCCACAGATTGCATAGACTGTGTATTAATTAATATTTTCCTCATCAAGTGCAAATTAAAACAGCCAGAGAGCTAAACTAAGAGCTGTAACCACAGGATACTTAAGCTCTACAACGGTGTCTCTGTTTCTCCTGCGAGTTGGAATCATAACTCTGGCTCTGATTATGTCCTCTGCTTTAACACTGTGCCTCAGGCCCCCAGTTGTTGTTTTAAATCTTTGCTAATTGTTGGGCTTTGGCTTGGTTCCTTCCATCACCTTATGAAATCCAGTTCATGTAATTAATGTGCAGTGTGTTCTGTGTGTGTGTGTATGTAGTTTTACTGGCTGGTGATGTCAATGTATTCAGGGCATGCTTCTGTAAATAGAGTGAAGTCATATGCAGGGATCATTTCCACTTTCCTTTATATGAATAATATTATTGTAAACCATCTGTGACCTAACCTTTTTGACTGTAACTTTTCTGCTGAATAAAAACACATGTGGCCGGTTTGAAAGCTGAGTTACTGATTAATGACATCACAGCTTGTAAAAAGGGAGTTTCTAGTAATGAAAGCTGCCATGATTTCCCACATAGAGTTTAGTTTATCACAACTGATAATTAAGATTTAAAGCAATTTTGTCTTCTATGGGTGATACTTTTTGCCAAATCCCTTTTTTAAATTTGGACCTTTGCTAGTGCTTAAGTGAACATTTGAGGATGTTTGTGTGTTTGGACAGTGGATAGGTCTGTGAATATATGTGTACATGTTATGCACAAAGGATGTCTTTCTTTAAAATGCACGCAGCATGTGGGGAAATAGGGAAGGAGTGTGTTTGTGTGTTAAATGATGGTGGTGGTGGTGGGTGAGGGCCTGATTTCAAGGTTGGACAGGAAATGCCTGTGCAGATGTCACAGTAATGTGGACATAGTGAGAACGGTACACAGGAAACAGCCTTCTCTGCAGCTCTCTGTATATGTGTGTATTTATATGTGTGCTTGTGATTAGCAAGCAGAAGAATGCAATAACAGTCAACAGAACTAGGGGGCACTATACACTGATGCAAATGAAAATGTTTCTTTCATAGTCTTCACCCTATATATTTATGCAAAACTGGACAACTGGCTGCTTTGACTTGACACAACCTCTTAAAACGACAACGACCAACAATAACACTAATTTCATATTTGAGGTTTTGTACCAAAATGACACCAATTAGGTCCTCAGTATAGCCAACTACCTTCTCATGTCACTGCTGCTACACTAGGACAGCTCTTTTGCTCTCATTGCATACATCTAATATGTTTATTGTTACTTTGCTAGCAGTGTACATCCTGTCTGGAACTGGGGAGGTCAGCACCAGTCCAGCAAATAACGCACATAAGGTTGGTTGAGAATAAATATTATAATTTTACCATCAAATTACAATCTTGGTTCAAATTCTGGGACATGTTGACTCCTCTTATTTTGTTTATTGCCTTTTTTGTCTTGTTTATTGCCCAATAGGTCACCCATGCAGGAAGTAAGACACCTACCAGTAGGGCAAATGGGTTATTCGCTCCTTCTCAATTAAAGATATTTAGGGAGAGAAGCAACGTTTAGGGAAAAAAAAAAAAAAAAAAAACACTAAACCTACAGTATATTCATAAAAATTGACTAATTATTCTGTGCACTGTTATACTGCTAGCAATAAAAAAGAAAATTATATCTACCTAAATGCAACACAAGAACCACATGAATGGTCTTTTAAAGGCAAATTAAGTTATTTAGACCTGCATTTTATAGTTTCAAACATGGGTAAACCACTACTACCAACACTTCTTTATTTGTAAATGAAGGAAACCATTAGATCATAGCGCACTGGTTGTTCTGATAAAACTGAATTTTAAAAAAAAATCAGTCTTTTTGGATCATCATTTTATGTTAATGTCATGGTTTGAGGAGTGATTTTAGGAATACACGCACACTCTCTCTCTCTCTCTCTCACACACACACACACACACACACCTTCCACCACTTGGCCACTGCTCTGATTGACAGGCAGACAGGTAAAACACAGGGCATTTTAAGGGTGCTCAGGTGTGTGTGTGTGTGTGTGTGTGTGCGCCTCATCACTATTCATCAGGCTCTGCCGTATTTGCGTCTCATCTGCATACTGGTCCAACAGGGAACAGATTAGCATTAGAGAGAGAGAGAAAGATGGAGGGAAGTTGAATCACTTTAATTTTTAACAAGATGATATGAAGGAGACACAAAGACCCAAGCACTGCTGGTGCTGCTGCTGACACAGCCAGGAGAGAGAGAGAGAAGAGGGGGCTCGGCAGGGTGGGATGTGCATGTGTGTTTCAGTGGAGGGGGGTGTGTGAGACAGCTACACCACGAGGTAAGGTGCACCGCTGGCATCAGTCATAAGAGAATGAGAGTTGTGGAAATGGAAATAAACAGCAGATCTGTTTTCCAAATGAAAATAACATTAAAGACAATCCTGTGTTAATGTTGAATATTGATCTCGGTGTGTCTCTGCCTCGCTCATTCATCACGTGCTAGTAGGAACTTAGCTGAACTCACATCAAATATTCATAAATAAATAAGTGGGATAAACATACCATAGTCACAATGGAGTCAATACCTCATTAGTGGACTGCACGCAGGCAGGCAACACACACACTTTTCTGACATGCGTTACTTATTGTAACACACTGCAACTTCTCAGCTTTGTTCACTGCTTGAGTTTCATTAAACCTTTTTGTTTAATCTAAATGTGCTGTATGAGTAAGAACTTTAGATTTATATTAGACTTTTTAAACTGTAGATGTCTGAAACATTTGTACTACTAATCAGCATGCTAAAAGAATGCTGTTCAGTGAATGTGCTCATTTTCCATGAAAGGTGAACTGAACGGATTACTTTGCAACTAAATAACATGAATATGTGAGCGATGAACTGAATGGCAAAGGCTTCATTCAATAGAGAGCAACTCTTAACACCAGTGCACTAAAACAAAGCTTCCTCTCCAAGTTTCCTCTAGAAATTCTATTCTTTTGTTTTCACATCCCCACATCAGTACTATTGTATCCTCTTAACACAGTGACACGCCACCACTTGTGCTACGTGAGCCTTAAAACAAACGCATCCTTGAGCTGCAGAAGATGGCCGAACCTTAAAGTGGAAAGAGACCAGTGGGGCTGTGGGGAAAGACTGAGTTCACTGGCAGAGTATTTCAGAGATCCACTGCCAAGACACGTCCAGGTATATCCACAGTACACGTCACATAAAAAACTGATTCTATAGCAGGAAGTAATTAAGTAAGTTTATCCTCTTATTTTTCTCTGTTTCAGACTCTCCTTCTGTCTTTCACTGTCACTCAATCCCTGCCTTTCTCTTGTGGTCCTCACACCTTGATTTCTCACTCCCTTATGCCACATTCAAGCCTTTTATGTCTTTAATTTTCTTCTCTCTCTCATTATGCCATTTAACTCCCTTGGTCCCTTCCAGTCCCTTTATCTCTTTGCTCTCAGCTCACTTCTAAAATCTTATCACAGTAAAGTGAACAGTTTACCTTGTTACAAAATTGGACTTTCACTGTAGATTGTGCAGATTTGATGCCTCCCTAATAAACATGAGGTGTTAATTTAAATGCAGTGATGAATTGTTATTTTATGGAAAACAGCACCACGGCAGTTACAAATGTATGAAAGAGTACAGTCTGATTTATCTGACGGTAAATCTACACTGCTCCCCTACAATGCACAGATGGGTGACAATGGAAAGTGTTTTAGTAAGGCCTCCTGAACAGCATCAGTTCTCCCTAGACTCTTTATCTCTGCTGGAGAGACACACACCATTCTTCCAATAGATATGGTTTTGATGATGCTGATGAAGAGTACCGTCTAACACAGGGCTCTACAAACTTTTTGCCCTCAGAGAACCACTTTGGTGAAATGAAAGTGGCCAAGAGCTACTAATGTCTAATATTACAAGTTACATTCATTCACATATTGTATCAAAAACATCTTCAAACATCAGAAAGTCAACCCAAAACGTTTAGCCTACCTTATATTTGATTGGATCCATGTACAGTTCTCTATGTAATTTCAGGTGTTGCTAAAAACACGGGAACACAAAGAGCAACGTTTGGCTACTTTAAACATCTTCCTGCAATTGCATTAAAACACACGTTCACCTATAACACACAGACATAATGCACAGTTTAGACTGCTACTTACCCTTTCCGAGGATATCATGCTCCCAGATGTCCACTGCAAATAAACGTCCATAACGCAGCTTAGAAATCGTAGAAAAATGAGATCCTCATAACGCCAATCCAGCTCACCCAGTGGTCCGTAACACAGCAAACAACTGCTAATAGCTAATTTGGCGTAGCGTTATTCAGTTTACTCAAATGTAGCCTAAAAATATTAAAGGCCACAGCGTAAATCAATGGCAACATATCTCCCGATTCTTATAAATATTTTTCATTTCATTTAAGTTAATAATTTTAACGTTTAACTCAATATTATCCAAAAAAAGAGTTGCTAGCATCACTGACCTACGTACCTGACCCAAACAAACTTAACAGTAGCCTAACTCATTTGATTGACAGAATATTGACAAATAGTAATTTGGTGTCAGAGGAGGGCGGGTCATCTGTGTGTTTGATTGGATGGCAGGTGGACTGAGTGAAATTGTGTTGTCCCATTCAATTAGCACTCGTGTATTTTTACAAGCTTTTGCAATTATTGTGTTTTTCTATTTGTTTGTTCTTTCAGTTTTTTTCTGTATTTTGTTACCCATCTGTATTGCATTCAGTTGTGCAACACCATTTGCTGCAACAGAGACAAATAGTCCAATTCTTTTGTGTTTGGCAAATACATTTGTCATGGAAGAATTGTGAAATGAAATATTAGCAAATTTTAAGTTTTACTCCTTTTACAGTTTTCCCAGTCCCAGTGCCCCCCCTGTTCAAGCTGCTTCAGCCGCTTTTTGCAGCACATTTATAACAAGTGACTATGGGCTCACAGAAACTAATGATCTAAAATCACCAGACCTACACATCAAGTTATGAGTTAATTGTGCTGTTTGAGTTTCTGTCTGTCTCTGGTTTCCTCAAATTCCTCTGTCCTCCGGTACCAAATAAAACAATCAGCAGCCAACAACTGTTGTCGCCAGCATATTCAGCATATTGGAAGTAATGTGTGACTGTGCTTCAGTTTTGGACAAGGTCACCTTTGATGTAGAGCTGCCTTGACAGCTTTTCATCCACCCCTTCTTCATAACACTTAATCTTTTATTCACCTTTCCATATATCAGTCTCTCTTCAATTTTACCTCTTTATGATGACTGTTCCTCATTCAAAGCTACCTTGTCTCTTTCTGCCTCTCCATCCTCAGAGGGATGGAGAGGGGGAAAGTGCTGCCCAGCTGTAGTGTCACTCCTAAAGTGTTGAGGCTCCCTGAGGACATGGACTGGATAGGGGTCCCTGAGGGGGCTGACACTGGCATGTTCTCATCTCTCGCTGTCACACAGATATGCACACCCACATGCACACATACACAGTTTTACACTTCTCTTCAGACAGCAGTGGTCTCAGCGGGGCTGCCCTGGAGCGTCACAGCAGCATGCTGGGTACCTGAGAAACCAATAATTCCAGGGCAGGGCCAGAATGTTAAGTGGTGTGTATGTGTGTCTCACTCGTGTGTGTGTGTGTGTGTGTTGCCTGAGTGGGGTTAAAATGTTAAGTGGTAGATTAATCAGTAGTAATTGTGTGTATGGTCCATTAAGGGAAGGGCTGGCTGACAGACAAGGCTGAGGATAGAGAGGGGGAAAAACATGATGGGTGTGTTTATATGTGAAGGTGCATCCGTGTGTGTGTACGTGTGTGTGTCCACCAACAGAGAAGTGAAACTGGTAGAAATAGCATTTTCTACTCTGCGCTATACTCTATATCTTTTTATAAACCCAGTCCTTGTTTGCTTTTCATGCTCCCCCATCATCAATCTTCCTCTCTTTTTTAGAAATTCATCCATCTGTGCCCAGAACTGTTGCAAAGTTGTTCTTCTACTTTTAGAAACAGAAGTTACTGAACAACGGTCACCACTGGAAAAACAAGGCTTCTTTCTGCTATCCGTCTCACTCCTGCAGACACACACACCACACACAATAAACCTCTCCCCCAGTGATCTCTGCTGGCTGATTTGGTATTCGAGTGCTGTTGTGAGCCCAGCAGGCCTAAAGCTCTCTTTGTATTGTTTTATTACCCAGGGGCTAGGCCTCACCACACACACACACACATGCACACACATGCATGCACCCACACGTTCAAACAGCAAAGATAGCATACAAGTGCAAAGCAGGATTAGCATATTAGCGTATTAGCATCCTGTCTGTCAATTGGCTCTGTCTGCTTTTCTTTCTCTCACAGACTGGAGAGGAAGAGTTGTATGAGGAGGAGGCAGAGGAGTGAGAAAAGGAGAAATACAAGGAGATAAGGAGGAAAGCGAGTAGGAACAGAGGAAGTAGGTGGAGAGTTGTTCACTCCTTTCCAACAGACAGATGGTAGTCTGACTCCTACTGAGTTGTCGACTGGCCAAGAAAGACAGACAGAAAGGTAGTGAGAGGAAGGGTGGGAGAGAGATGAACCTTTCCTCCACTTTTTCATCTCCTTTTTCAACCTCTCACTCAGTTTTGCTGCCAGCTTAAACTCTTTTTACCCATCTTTCTCCTTCTAGCCTCTGTTTTTCTATTCACAAGCCATCAATCTCTCAATTTGCATCTCTGTTTTTGTCAGTCATCTGTCACAGGTTACTATCTTTCATCTACAGTTGTCTCCTTCTTTTCTATGGGTACATCCATTTTTCCCTCTCCTTCTCTCACTCCATGTCTGCAGAGCTTTCTTTACTGCTCAACGAGGATGCTAGCTGGCCAAGTTTGGTCAACAGAGACACGGAGATCAGTGGAGAGATAAAGAAAAACTTGAAAATCTATAGCTTATCCTGAAGAGGGTCACAGGGGGCTGGAGCCAATCCCATCTGACATTGGGCGAGAGGTGGTGTACACCCTGAACAGGTCACCAGTCTATCACAGGGCTGACACTTAGACACAGACAGCCACACACACAGACTCACTCCTACAGGCAATCTAGGGTCACAATCAACCTAAACTGCATGTCTTTGGACTGTGGGAGGAAGCTGGAGTATATGAAGAGAACCCACACAGGGAGATGCAAACTCCACATTGAAAGGCATCAGGTTGGCTGGGGATCGAACCTGGAATATTTCTGTGTGAGGTGACAGCACTAATCACTGCGCCCCCATGCAACAAAAACCTTTAAGGAAAAATGCCACAGGCCAGTGCAAGTGCACACAAAATTCACAATTTGTGTAGCTGCATATGAATGTTGGTGACAGGGTACCTGTTAATTTTGTTTCTTCTTATTCTGTAATCATCTCATAATCCCACAGATTCATCTTGTGACCCACTGAACGAGCCTCTACTTACTAACTGTACTGTGTATAAAACTAATACCATCTGAACCAGCAACAACAGTAAAATGTATGTGTGTGTGTGTGTGTGTGTGTGCAAGCAGTATATTATTACACCCGTACAGTAGTATCATATATAGTAATAAAAACCCATCTTTCCACAAGATTAGTATTTTTGATCCTGTAAGTACTAATGCCTTTCTGTACCTTTACTCAGTAATGATTTTGAATCCAGGACATTCACCTGTATTGGAGTAGTTTTACATTAATGTCTTGGTCATTTTACTTACAGTAAGTACAAGATCCAAATACTTCTCCCACCACTGCAGGTCTCCCTGATGTAACAGTCACTCACCATCTTGACATAGTGAGTAAAATTTACCTGGCTGAGACATTAAAATATATCTTGAGCTAGGCCCTGGTTGCCTGTTATTTGGTTTATGTTTAAAAATACAGTACATTGTGTGTATATGATGCCATGATCTGTTTGACACAACAGGGGGCAGTATGGTTCTGTCCATCACCTCCTTCAGCCTGTCAAAATACTTTTACTGTACAAGACAGCATTTTTTTTTACAATAAGGTATAACAGAATAGAACGGGACTTAGTTTTAAGGCAGCTTTGCATGATCTTTACAGCTGTTAAAAATCTAGATAAAGACTGATGGACTTAGAATTACAAAATAAAAATGCATAAAACTGTAGAGATTAGTTTGTAATATATGTAAAAATGTTACAGTTCAAACTCATTTTGACAGGGTTGAAGGGTTGAAACTGCATTTTTTTGTCATGTCAGGGAAAAGAAGGAGCAGTGAACTTTTAGTAGAGAATGGAGTCAAGCTCCTTATTCCCCCTTTCACCCCATTTCTTTCAGCATCCTTTTCTACTAAAAAGGGCACCATTTCTTTAGGATAACAGGGGAAATTCAGTGTTTTCCATCACACTGTGTTGTAACACAGGGGCCAAAAGTAGTAAAGAACTACTAAAAAATTCTAGATTTAGAGCCAGTTTTGTAGTAACATGCACTGAGTTTGTGATGTTTTAATCAAATGGTAATCATCTATTTTCATTTTGCTGTAATTGACTAAAGACAGAAAATGCTGTGAACACATGTTTGAGTTGATTTTCTATCACTCACCAATGATACAAGCTTGAAGTTGAAATTAAAACATTTGCTGACAAAGTTGAAGAAAATTGGCTCAAGAAAAAAAAAATCACTCCAACATTTGAAGTGTTGATGAACTAATAAAACATGGTGCTATATTTTTTTTAAAGACATTGCTTTGTGGAGGTAAACACTTCTGACATATCGGTACTGAATGCTTTATGATATCTACACTAAAACACATTGTCTTTATACTAGTGGTGTCTTACTCCCCTGAGAGAATAGAACTAGCAGTTTTTGAAGGTAATATTGTCCCATATGAACACACATCGTTGTATTTGTCATATCAGTGTTTGTATTTATTAGCACATGCTGTTGGAGTCTCATCAGAACTAAAAAAAAAAGCAGTTTGTTTTGTAGAAACACAAGAGGGTTTGCAACTCCCTGGCTGTGTATCTGCTCTGTTTGTGTTAAAATGATTTTGTGCATTTGTCAGCTTGGCATGGTTAGAAGTGTGTTTGTGTGTGAGCATGTGTGTGTGTGATGTGCTGATGAGAAACCCTAAAATGACAGTTTTGAGCTGTGCAATGACATTGTGAGACTTCTGTCACTTTTCAGACAAATTTGTTTGGAGTATGTGTTTGTGTTTGCATGTGTGTGAGGTTTTTTTCACACATGTATGTATAAATGTGTGTGTATATATGTGTGTGTGTGTGTGTGTGCTGTCATTTATTTGTTATCTGCCAAGTAAGACAGAGTATCTTTCATCCTTTTCCTCTCATCTCATCCCTGATAGAGAACACAGTTGTGTTTGCACAGCAAACACATACAGACACACAAACACACAGACGCTGGTTGTTTCAAAATGAGCCCATAATTATACTGCATGTTTATACTTTGTCTCTGAACAGAATGTTACAAAGTGTTGAATCCTGTTTTGTTTTTGCAGAATAAAAATAGTTTGGTATGTCTCTCTGTAATGATGCTCCACTGTTACACTAACAGCTC